TGAGTGCACAGACTCTCCATCACTTGGGACCCCAAGAGAAACCAGCCTGTCCAACTAGCAAGTACCCCCAGGAGCCAGTCCCTCCCTTCTGCACACCCTGGCTCCATGGAGAAGAAGGAAATTGTGCTCTCTCTTGACGCTAACACCAGTGAGTGTAGTGATGGGGCTAACCAAACAGGCTCCCTACATTGCTGGCCAGAAGTGACTGGAGGTGGTCCAGAGGTGATTATTGTGCCTGTTCTCTTTGGTGTGATATTTCTGTTAGGCATGGTGGGAAATACCTTGGTCCTGGTAGTGCTGGGACACATCCGGCCCAATGGACGCCCTTCACGGAGTGCCACAAACATCTTCATTCTCAACCTGAGCATTGCGGATTTCTCATTCCTGCTCTTCTGTGTCCCCTTCCAAGCCACAATCTACTCCCTACCTGAGTGGGTCTTCGGTGCCTTCTTTTGCAAGTGGGTTCACTACCTGGCCATGACCACCATGCTGGTCAGCATCTTTACTCTGGTAGCCATGTCTGTGGACAGGTACATTGCTGTGGTGCATGCAAAGCGCTCCCTCTGCATCCGCAGCAAACGCAATGCTGTCATGGGTGTCAGTGTCATCTGGCTGCTGTCACTGCTCATTGCCATCCCTGTTGCCCAGCACCAGGCCCTCATGAGTGGCCATGAGAAGGCACCCAACAGCTCTTTCTGCTGGGAACACTGGGCTGATGGTTCAGCTGCCAAGCAGACCTACAAGGTTGCCATCCTGGTGGTGGGGTACCTGCTGCCCCTGGTGCTCATCACCTGCTGCTATGCCAAGGTGGGTAAAAGGCTAAGCGGGACTGTGGGTGAGGGTCTGAAACATTCCCAGGTTATTTTTTATCTGAATCCACCAGTTCTACAACAGGGTGGGAAGAACTAAAGTGAAGGGAGCGAGCCAGCGAGCAAGGTGGTAGTGTAAAAGATTTCCAATTATTTCCTCTCAGATTTTCAGGATTGATGGGAACTCCTCATTTACCTAAATCTCGTATTGATTTATGGTTTACAATTATTTTATGTTTTTAGTAAATATTTCTGTCCTTGTTACTGGGTGACACATACACAAAGAAATGGTTACACAGAGGATACAAGCATTGCTGAATGTAAAAGTTAAACAGACTTTTTTCTTAAACTACAGTATTTTTAGGTACCAATTTGAGTTGGATTCTAAGCTGATGTCCCTGTAAGATTAAGCGAATTCTATACCATTGTAACAATTTTAAAAATATATATAATTTTTAGAAAGAGGCTTTAAAATAGAAATAGAAGCTATTATAAAGCATGTATGTGTTTTGGTTTTTTATATACTGAAATTGCTAGCCTTTGCCCGTGTGCGTGTGCGTGAGAGAGAGAGAGAGGGAGAGAGATGAGGAAACATCTTTCAATGAAGTGTTTGGATTCCTCTGGAGGCATTCAGATTGATGCTAGTTTCTCTTCTGCTAGGTTCTTACACTGAGCATATTAGCAAATGGCATGCAAACCACATTTAATAAATTAATTTTCTTTTAATTAATCAATCTAGGTAGTTTCATTTCCTAGTGCCAATGGCCAGAGAATAGTAACTGTCTGATTCTAAAGTTGCTGTAATTGTATTTTAGAAGGTTAATATTGATGTCATTAGAACACGAAATAGAAATTCTCACATTTATTTTTCATGACTCCCAATTCTGCCACCAATATTTTGAAAGGAGTCTAGCTATCTACTCTTAAAGTCAAAATTACTACTTCAAAATGTGCAATAAGTAGTAATGCAGCAAAGTGTCCTACTCTGACAGTATGCAGAAATGACTTTAGGGTACCAGCCATAGTAGAAATGTAAATGTAATCTTGTAAGAGCTAATTTAAGGTCCACTAAAAGAATTAAACATGCTTTCAGTTGGATTCTTTATCTAGAGTGAGCAATTTCTAATGAACACTCAGTATCATTGGTGACTTGTAGGGGGTGCACGATTGCATATGCACCCCCTGACTGTGGTGGTGCACCCCCTGTGAAAAGGCGTTGCTGACACTGCCAGTGGCACCTGCAGGAAGTCACCAGTCGCCACTCTCTCCCCCCTCCCCATCCCCACCCCGACGCTGCCAGCGGCATCTGCAGCCAGTCCACAATTGCCATGGGTGTTGCTGGTGGTGCCTGCGGGACAGCACTGTGACCACCTCTGGGAGCTCCCTACTTGCTGCTGCCACCTGCAGGAGCCCACTGTGCCCTCCCAGCCTCTGGGGGCATGCGGAGTTCATGCTCGATAATTTTCCCACAAGAAATGAGCTTTCACAAGAAACCAGTGTAAACACTGGAGTTAAAAATTTCAGTATGTATTTAACAAAAAATTGAAGCTGATTTTCATTGAAATCTTAACTTTATAAACTGATTCTTTTTCATTCTTAACTGTGTATGTAAACTACAAGTTCATTTACAAACTTTTTTTTTTAGGTTTTATATCATCTTCATACAAAAGTAAAAAACATTTCTAAGAAATCGGAGAGATCAAAGAAAAAGGTAAAATATTATTTAAGTTTATAAATGCAATGAATCATCTACCTGACTGATAGCATACCTTATTGTTTTACAATACATATGATGGTTCTCTAAAACGGCTAATCATTATCTCATGTTTCATTTGCATTTTTTGAGGAGCTTTTACTTACAATGGCATGCCTGCTGAGTTCTGTTAAAAGTTTTAATTGTTTTAATTTAAAACATGACTTCCTTGCCATGACTAGTTTCCTTAGTACAATATAACCTCATAAATCTGGATCTCCAAAATCCAGAATTCTCAAAATTCTGGCACTTTTTAAGCTTGCCCCTCTGCTCTCTCAAATATCTTCTTTACTTACGATCTCACAGTTTAGTTCTGCACACATTTAATAGCTTTAAAACTTGGTTAACTGGAGTCTTTCCAGCAGAAGACAAGATAGATGTTGACTTTATAGACTGACTCAATCAGAGATTCATAAAACTTTCATAAGCAGCAGTTTGATTCATCAGATGCTATTTTGCCAACCCAATTTCAGGATTAACCCTTCTTAAATAGTCTGCAATAATAAATTGGATTGCTTGCAATTACTTTGGAGAATAATACACTTGTATAGTTTCCTTCTAACATAATCACATTTCCTTCTGTTTCCCTCAGTTAAATATGGATTTAGGATTTAATCTTGTATGCAGTAGCAAAACACTGGCTTCAGTGCAGTAGGATCAGATATACCAGGCATAAACGTTGTAACTTTTAAAGCTAAACAGAATTGGTACTCAACTCTGTGTATAGATACTGACAAACAACCAGAGTGTGAAGAAGCATTTGGACAGGTGGCAATGCATCACCATGTTGATGGGGACACAGGGGTTGGAGGCAGTGACAGTGGAGCAGATGGAAAGGAGCTGCAGCAGGGAGCAGGGATGGAAGGGGGAGAAATGGGCCTGGACCCCAAGCAGTGGGAGGGAAGTGGGAGCAGGCCCGGGTGGCATGGGGCTCCACTCCCCCTCCCCCTGCTCTCCTCCCCATCATTCTTGACAGGCAGTTGGCTAGTGCTTTAATATTAGCACTATGTAGAGTACATTTTGATTGCTGCTATCTACACATAACCAAAGTGAAGATCATTGTATAAATCTGGTGCCTTAACACAAAGGATGGGGAAGATAGGATAAGTATTAAACATACAGAAAAAGAGTGTAAATGCTTCATGCCTTGGAAATGGATGTTTCCCCTGAAGTCATAACTTTGGCAACCTTATTAGGGCTGTTTCAAAGTACTGTGCTGAAATGGTCTTCTATGCTTTAATATCAAACTGTTACTATTGAATCTACTTTTTCTTTGGAAATCTCCCACCTACAGAGGCCAATACCAGATACACAACTTCATGAGGAGACTGTGCAGGTATAGTTGTAGTATTACCTATCCTGAGTACATGAAGCATTTTAGAATAATAATTAAAGAAAACCAAATTAAGGTCTTCCTAACAGGATGTTCTTATATGATCTCTTCTGGATTTATTACATCTTCAGAAATAGTATTGGATCTCTAACCAGTAATTAAGATGTTGTTCACTACACTCAGTACAAGTTCCTGATACTAGAATGAGTCATATAAACTTAAGAGCTCCACCTATAACAAAATCTGGTAACACTGTAATCCAAGAAAGACAAGCATCCAGATAGGTGTTCCAGGCCTCTTGTAAGTCATGTATGGAACCAGTGGTCTTAGTTCAATGTGGCTTTTCCTTGCATTAAAATTTTATTTTACTTGCTCAGCAAAGAGCCTGGAGTACAGCATGTTGTAGACAAGCCATGAAAAAAATGCATTGTTTTCCAGTATCTGCCCCCCCTTAGTAGGGACACAAATTATACATAAACTGGTATAAGTGATCAGAAATGGTTCAAATCTGTAACACAACAGAAGTTCAGTACACAAACCGGTTTAGGCTTGGGCTTTTTGACTTCTGTACTTTGTTTTAGTCAGAGCTCAGGGGGGGCTGAGCCCCCATAAGAGATGAGAGTTCCCCCATAAGAGATGAGAGCCCCACACCCCCTCAGCAGCCAGGAAGAAACGGCTGTTCAGTTCAGGGGGAAAGTGGCCCCTCCCCCTCGTCGCTGTCTGGTGTTTTTTTCTGCAGCTGCCTAGAGCCCGCGCCTGGGCTTCTCTGCAGTTTCTCTCTGCCACTGCCACCACTCCCACCACCTCCAAGCCCCCCAAGAGTCAAAGTGTAATTTGAACCCTGGCTTTAGTGAATTCTCTGCACCTTGGCAGATGAGTTTTTACAAATCAATCCATTTCTTTTGCCAATAGGCAGCACGGACCCAGGAAGGACAAGCTTCACCTCCTATAGATGTGTCTCACTTCTGAGAGTAATGGGATCCTTCCTAAATCATTTTGGCTGGTCTTAATGTTAATACTGTGTCACAGGACACTACTGTGACTGTGTAGCAACTTGAGGGCAGCCTCCCTATCTACTATCTTAACCAACAAAGCAAGGCAGGTGAGACTAGCAGGTGCCCGCAGGGCGAAGCTGGCATGGTCACAGGGCCCTAGGGGCATCACGGCTGTCTCTAGGGACCCCACCCCATGACATGCTGCTTGCTATGGAACTGGATCATTCACTTCAAAGGCCACAGGGTAGGCAGCATATGGAAACACAATATCTTTCTGTCATTATTTTAACTGCATGTGAAGTCATACAGACTTGAAAGGACAAAATTTGAAAACAGAGTTGTGCATCCTTTACAAATAGTATATACAAATTAGATTGTTTCTTTTGGAATTCCATTTACTGTTTGGTAATAAGAAGCTAGTTGAATTTTCCTGATGTGAAACTAAGGGAGATGGATCAGTAACTACTACGGTAATTTTCTCTGCACCTTTGCTTCCCACAATTTTTTTTTTAATAGGGCTATAAACTAACTGTCTTGACATTTCTTTTTTTCAGATGAATAGTGACTAGAGATCAAATTACTGGATCTCTTGTATTTAGCTACCTGCCTTTTCTTAGTTTGAGGGGGAACTCAATTGTTTTAATAACAGTTTGTAATGAAAGGGGCCTGAGAGACCCCACTAGCAACCCCAGGATCCCTGGACAGGCTAAGTAAGCCCCCAACAAAACAGAAAACATACTTCCTAAGCTGGAAGCAGCAGAGCTGCAATGATGTGCGGCACTGCTGCTGTGGCTTAAAAGCCAACTGTCAATCAAGTTGGGCAGCACTGAGCTGATAACTATAGCTACTGGTGCCACAGCAGGGAATTTAAAAGACACCCGGAGTGCCGGGGAAGGGAGAGGAGAGTCTGCCTCTGGGCTGCCTATGTCCAAGACAGAGGCAGACCTGGGACACCTAGGCATCAAGGTGTGCTTTCGGGGCTCAATTTGTATGGAGTCAGGTAGGCTTCATGATCTGAGGCTAGGGAGCCTCAAGTAATCAGCTAATCCAGCATCCTTGGGGAGCTGGGAGAGTTGCCTGCAGACTAATAGGGGCAACACTCCAGAGAATAGGCTCCTTTTCATTTTTCTTTTTTTTGTTTTTTTTTTCCTTTATTTTTGTTGGAAGGATGGATAGGACCAGAACAAACCTAAAACTAGGGCTTAACCCAAAGGTTTACCACTTGTATGCAAGAGACAAGCTAGCAATCCTAATAAGGTCAGGAAGCACCATCAGGATAGCCTCAGACAAAATCCAGATCAAGCCAGAATCCTATATCATATTTCATTGCCTCAACGTCATCAATAGCTGGTATGTGGCTCGGGGTGTAGGGGAGGTGAAGCCCCCTTTGTCAACCACTCTCAGATCCATGAGTACCCCAGGTGGGACTTCTGTATTAACATTGCTGAACCCCTCCTATTCATTTTGTTATCAAAGTTGTGGCAGGAGAGTTGAGGGGAGGCCTATCCTAGTGGTCACTCAAGAAAATCCCAGTGTTGGGTAAGCGGAAATGTTACACAGTTCTATAGTCACTTCTGTCTATGCATTCAGGCACCTTCTTCGTTTCATGAATTGCCATTTTTTTTCTTTTTTCCCCCCCTTTTTTGATAACAGTAGTGACTTCAAACTTTGCTCTGCCATTGAAAAGTTAATAGTTCCTGTTCTTTCACTCTGACCCAGAGTCTTTCCTTCTGATCCTGAATTCATTGCTTGTCAGCTTTTAAATCTATGTCTGAAGTAAAGTGGAAACATGTGCAGCACCCCACTCAACCAAAACAAGGTGTGTGGGGGGTGTTCTATGTGGCCATACCTCTGGAAAAAAAAATTTTTTTTTCCAGAGGTGTGGCCACGTAGAGCAGGGAAGAACCTATTCTTCATCTTATTCATTCTTGCTCAGGCAGAAGCTAGTTTTAACCCTTTCACAGCTGAATTGTCAAGAGATTTGGCTGCTCAGCCAAAAGCTGAAACTGTAGCTGCTGTTAGACTCCATGGGCAGAGCTAGGATTTGCGGGGAGAAAAACCCTAAAAACAATCTACAGGGCTCTGAAATAGGAGAAGATATGCCAGGAGTAGTTAACAGACAGCCACAATTGTTTAAGAAAGGATAGCTGGATTAGTGGAATATCAAGACCATTAAAAAAGAGGGATGGTCATTAACACCCGTGGAATAGAGAGCCATTAGCAAGAATTGGACAGATAATGAGTCATGAATTACTTGACTCCTTCAGCACTACCTGAATGGAAATGCCACTTATACTATTGAGCATTTGGTTTTAAACATAGGGTAGAGCAGGAATCAGAGTGGACAAGGACTGCATCACCCCACCATGATCTGCCCCTGTTCAACTCTGCTCTTACCTCCTTGCAGTTCCTGGAGGGAAGAGAAGGAAAAGCAGAAGCAGCCATTTTACAGCATCTCCATGCTTCTCTTCTGGGCAGAAAAATTAGCATAATTAACTAATTATGGGGGAAAGGATGTGTCTGAGACACGAGTGTAAATATGGTAATTTACAAAGGCTTGTAGGAAGCAGATGATTCTAAATTTCCAAAACAGAGACTGATGATACAAGATGTATTATGGGGAGAGGAAC